TGTCACTTCTGTGGGGTAGACAGTCCCCCTGCTAAAAACATCTAAAAACAGTTCAAAAAGAATCCCTGTGACTACAAGGGGCACACGCACACACACATACACAACAATAATCCTTTTGACAAATGCAATTGAACTTGATGTCCATGGTCTGTGAACCACCAGAAGTGCTCTGCTTCTCTTTAGCACACGGATTCCACCCACGAATTCCAAGGTGACTCACCTCCTCCATGCTGGGGCTCAGCCAGCTATCCATGGTTCTCCTTTGCTGCTGGCATCAAGCCACACAGGTGATTTCAAACAGAAAGAACGATCGCAGCTCAGTTGATCCACGATCCATCCACACAATCAGCACAACTGTGTCAAGCTTTCTTGGTCTAGTGAGTCTACTTACAGTCCAAAACCTTGTGTCTTAAGTGCTCTACCGCTCAGCCTGAGCTACGCACAACACTGTAACTGAGCTGCTCACATGGTCACCGGAGCACCTCACAGCTGGTGATCCGGATCGATCTCCGTGCGCTTTTCTCTGCCAGGTGCGTATTAGAGTAGGGAGACTCCTGATGAAGGTCGGCCTATAGAAGAAAAACCAATGGCTCCGGACAAACCAACATGAACCAACGTGTGCAGGACCAAAGGACCACGACTGGACCAGCTGTCAAGAGCAAACGTCGAAACTTGGGGATCAACAGAGGTTCTTGAGGCCATGATACTCATGTTACATGTTGATCAAGAACTTGGGGTATGCCTGGTTCATAGCTTGGGCATTATGAGTCTTGCCCAGGCATTTTTCGTACCCCCTTACCCGACGATATGCCCGGAGGGCCGAATCAACATCAGGAGGCAGTTTGAGGATTAAAAAACACCCTATTGGCCCTATCTAACCCTTCCTGCTCAACCTCCGTAGGTCAGTCTGCGCAACCACTGCATCAGCCGCTTCGCAATAATAAGGGAAGACTGGCAAACTCAGGTCTCTCCCAAGCTGCAAAAAGCTAGAGGAAGTCCTCATCTTGCTAAAGCCATCAGAGGGGTGAGGGATTAAAAAAGCAAGAATAGCAACAATATACAGATATTCGACTGGGATCAAAAGGAAAAAGCAAAAAAACCTGACCAATGAAAGGAAAGGGGGAGTAGGGAAACGACAACAGCAGGAGGGCGGGCGACAAAACGATCTGGGAGCGCCCCCACAGAGCCAAGAAAAGCACCAACAAAGGAAAACAAACAGAGTACGAAAGGATAGAAACGTTGGACACAGGCAAAGGTGGGCTCGAACATCCACAGGACAATGAAAGGATGTTTGCAACACATAGTCAAAAACTTAGGGGAGGGCGTGCAATATTTGGTGCGGATATGCGATGGGTGACCTTTGAAAAGTCTGTCCTAGCACCCAATGCATTGGCAAAAGTAGTGCAGATTTCGTGGCGCTGGAGGGGGGCTGCCAACTACAAAAGCCACCATACTCAGAAGGCACAACAAAATCGATCATCGAAACCTGCACACCCCATTGCCTCATCAATGAAGGGCGCCCAGAAAGTCACACAAGCGACCACGAGGCCGGACCAGGACGGACCAGGGGACCAAAGGACTAGGGTACCAAAGCACCGACCAATGGACCAGGGCACCAAAAGACCAGGGGACCAATGGACTAGGGGATCAAAGGATCTCAGGATTATACATCTTGTTCATACTATTCTTTTGACCTAGAATCCCAGCAGGGCAGGTGGTGGCTAGCGATCTTGAACAAAGCACGGAAAAGCGTAACGATGGCGAGCTCAAGGATGGCGGAGTCCCATGGTTGAAGAGTGGTGCAGTGTTCTGTCCTCGGTCGATGGAAAATGGAACTTGTCTCTGAACGTCTTCTCCGACTCTAAGCCACCCCACCATCGCCGAAAAGCCCGGCGCTGCCCTGGAAAAGCACGAAAAGCACTCGCATATGTGGGGGGACCGTCGTTTGTCTAGGATTGCAATCAGCTCAACATGTCTCTTGGATGCATATGGAATGCACGCCCCCCAAGTCACATGTCTTCTCAAAGCTGCTTATGATACAGGTGCAGGTCCAAGCCAAGGTGTTGAAATACTAAATATACTATACACTGACTATGTACAGTATATATATATATATCACAATCAACGGCATGTCTATCTCCAAGGATTCCATGAGAGAAACGTAGATACGTTTGGATCCCTCCACCCTCCACTTGCAACCACGGGACCCTGGGCGGGATCCGTCCAACTCCACTCACCCCAGGTACCGACTACGGTCAAAACGGCTTAGGCTTCGACTCTCTTGGTGGTGCTGCCTGGCACAGAACTGGGGCCGCCGTGAACTGGGTCGGTCTCCCGGTACCGGTGCGTAGTCCGGTGTCCCATAGGCCCATTTACTAGTAGCTCCTTGCTCCTAGTAGTAAGGCCAGGAGGGTCGGAGAGTCACTTTGGAACATAAGTTTTGGGTCACTTTGGAACACAAAACAACCCAAAGACCTGGAAGGGTTGACAAAAGCCAATTTGTGAGAGATCACTTTGGAACACAAAACACAAGGTTTTTTGGGTCACTTTAGAACACACACACAAACACACAAAGGGATGGATGGGGGGGAGGTTTAAGGATGA